GCGTTGTGAGCAAAAATTCAACGTACGACGTTCGAAACCCTAGGGTTAACGCCGGTCAACGCATAACCCTAGGTCAACGCCAGTCAACGCGTTGCAATCAAACAGTCAACGTACGACGTCCAAAACCCTAAGGTCAACGCCGGACAACGCGTAACCCTAGGTCAACGCCTATCAATGCATTGCAATGAAAGAACTAATACTCCGAAAGGTATACGAGTATAAACTGCTTCTTAATACTCCGAAAAGTATACGAGTATAAACTGCTTCTTATACTCCGAAAAGTATACGAGTATAAACTGCTTCTTATACTCCGAAAAGTATACGAGTATAAACTGCTTCTTATACTCCGAAAAGTATACGAGTATAAACTGCTTCTTATACTCCGAAAAGTATACGAGTATAAACTGCTTCTTAACACTCCGAAAAGTATACGAGTATAAACTGTTTCTTAATACTCCAATAAGGTATACGAGTATAAACTATTCCCTATTGTTGGTTGAGAAGTTCCTGGAGAATATTTTCATTCTTAAGGATAACTCAACAACACTACGCCGGACAACGCGTCGCAAATAAAGACTCAACGCCGACAGTCGAGGGTCAGTTCTGTGTTCAACCAACAAGCACGAGCTAAAAATCAGAAAACCAGGAATTGACTTCAAGTTCGAATTTCCGACAACGGTCAGACAATAAATGCAGCACCGGAACTCTTGCAGACATTCGACAAAGCACCGAATAGCCTGGAAGATTGAAGGAATCAAGAACGGAAGTCATTCCAAGGTCCCGTTACACCGACTGAAGGTTGGGACAATCATATCCAAAGTATTCCAGACTCTTCTATAAAAGAACGAGACTGAAATACTTTGGAGGGGGTATCTGTAGGCATATAAAATTGCTTATAGGTCCTTTAGCTCAGCTCGGCACAAACCGACGAACCAACGAGGCGACGAGATCGACGAATCGCATCAAGCGACGGAATGCATCCATACACGTGCGGGATCAAGCCAAGGGTTCGAAGAGTCAACGAGTCATCCAACCAAAGGCATACTCGGACGAATGACGATCGAATCAAGATCGGTTTCGGACTCCAACTCAGAAGCGGATTTACTGCCAAATCAGGAATCCAATTTACTGCCAAATCAGATCATCAAATCAGAGACTAAGTTAATCAAATCACGGACAGAACCAAAGGCGGAAAACACCGAAAAACCACCACCTAGAGGGGTTCGGCCGAAGCCGAGCCAACTTCAGGTGGCTCGGCCCAAGCCGAGCCACCTCAAGGTGGCTCGGCCAAGGCCGAGCCACCCCCTGGGGTGGCCGAGCCACCTCAGGGTGGCTCGGCATGAGCCGAGCCACCTTGAGGTGGCCGGCCACCTAGGGGGTCGGCCACACGTGCACACGGGCACAGTGACGCTTGGCTATAAATAGGAGAGGGCCTTGGTTCATTTGGGGGGTTGGAAATTTTGGAGAGGCGAAGCCCTGCTGGATTGGAGACTCAGATCCAAACAAGATTCAAACTTTAGGACTTCAAGGACTTGCTCATCCAGATCTGGTGCTCGGCGACCGTCAACGCCAAATAAGGCAGGTATTCGAGAGGACCAGATCTCAGATCTACGCGTACGAACTCCGGATCTAAGCTTGGTCTTAGATCCCGAGACTTGAGCGATTGTTTCCTTGGTGAATCAATCCCTCCCGGCTATTATTTCCTTCGTGGAATAATACCCGTCGTACTGCGTAGATCCGACCGGATCTAGATCGCGCGGTGGTCCACGGCAAACAACCCCGGCGCAGGCAAAGAACCCACAAAGCGAGCGACCGCAAAACAGGAGCTCGTGATTCGTTCGACAAACAAGGAAACAAAGTTGTAATTTTTCATTTCTTTTTATTTGATTTTCGTTGTAACCGGATCTTATAAAAAGACCGGATCTTTGTAATCGATAAACTGTTACAAGAGTGTACAATGGAATCATTAATGAAGAAAGCAACGGTTTTTCCCGCGAACAATCTGGCGACCACAGTGGGAGCCACCGATCTCGCTGCCGAGATCGGAGCGTCGCAGCCGCGGATTCAGATCCCAGTCGTGGAGGAGGTCGAATACGAGTTCGATCAGACCAAGTTCGAGGAATACCTTTCATCCTCGTCTAGATCAACCTCCCCCCGCAAGTCCAAGAAGTCCAAGTTCTCCTCCAGGAGAAAAGTGCGTTGGTACGAAGAAGTTGAAGCTACCAATGAAGATCTCGCCCTGTTTGATGCCAAAGCTGCATCGAGTGAGATCTCTCCAACTTCCAACCAGGTCAGA